GCAACCATTTTAGATAAATTTGTTATTTTCCCTTTACAGGTTAGTTTTTATTCTAGTTATATAAAAACCGCTCAATTTTCAATAATTAGAGAAATCAAACATAATAAAATCTGATTATAGTTTGGTGAAGATGTACATAGTTTAGCATTTTATTTTATATGTGATTTGATCTTTTCATTGTAGATGTATATGGTTCAGTGAAAGAGTTAGATATATGTTGCATAATATTTTCATTGGTAGCTTAGTTACCAATCATTTAATTATATGTTAAGGCTGGGTAGGTTCAGAGCTAAAATTGATCGATAGTGCATTCCTGTATTTGTTATAATTTTTATATTTTCTATAGTGAATAATATGATGTTTGCAATATTGGGTTTATGTTTACTTTGTTTTGTTTAATACTTATACCATAAACAGAACATCCCTATTTTTAAGCGTGTTTTTTATATCCAACGTCAGTACTGTTATTTTTATTTAAGCAAAATGTGTCGTTGTTTTTACAAGTTAGGAAATGCGTTTAAAACCTTTAAGCTGATATTATAAAATTTTGTATATTATACTTTAAAAAGCCGACTGATAGAAACCTAAATATTCCCCATGTGGTCTTCTAGCTAGAATATGTGGATTTTATTTAAAAGGTCTGAGTTCGATACTTAGTGCTATGAATAAGTTATGAAATTTCGTTTTTTAATAACAACTTATTCCTTATATTTTAGATTACGTATTTTAAAAAAAAATTCCTTGAGTTTTCGCATATGTTCAAATCTTCGCTTGTATCTTTTCTTCGTTGAGCTTTATAATGAACAGAATTTCTTGATTTTCTAACCTTCACATCCATTACACATGTGGTATCGGTAATGGTACATATATATATATATATCTTTTTCAGCTATTGATTATTTAGTTTCCGAACTGTCATAGCGGCAGCACGTGACCCAAGGTGTCTAATATTACCTTGTTGTAGCCACCTCAGCCATTTGTTTTTTATTAAATGACATCCTTTGCCCGCAAGGATAATTTAATACTGTGTCTTGAACCTGGGCTGAACCATTTAAAACTAAGATATCCTTTGCTGACTGAACTATGAGGTCAGCTGAAACTGACAGCTGGCCAATGCTCTCAGGGAATAGAGATCACAGAGTGATGCCATTCACTGGACAAACAAAGCAAGGTGCTGTTTGAGATCCAGGCAAGCTTTTTTAGTTCATTTCTACTTGAGATTCACCTTGACTAGTTACGCATAAGTTCATCCTGAGAGACGGAAAGCTGGTGAACTATTCACTAATCCTGTGGAGGTGATCGTCCAATTATTTAATCAGGTATGCACTCTGTTTGTTTATTTTGTGTCTAAATAAATATTTTTTTTTTACAGTCATTCAAACGTGCTCAATCTGTTTACTTGCCAAGAAACTTAAAAGTCAGTCAAGTTATCAAGTTCAGAACACTATCCTTAATTCTTGATCGAATCTGCTGTTATTTGCGGGTTTGCCTGTCTGATACTTGTCGGGAAATTGGTTTTACCTGAAATTATCACACACACACACACACGTAATCAGGTTTATTGTTAAAGATTCACTCTTTCGCTATTTTTTGATGTGGTTAAACATTTAAAGCACGCTAAAAGTAATATTGTTGTTGTTGTTTTCGCGCAAAATCACAAAATAGGCTAGTTGTGCTCCGTCCATCATGGGAATCGAAACCCAGAATTTTGACGTTGTAAGTCTGTAAACTTACTGCTGACCGACCAGAGGACAAAAGTATAAATGTAGTAAAGTGGTCTAGTGTCCAGTAGCCTCACTTGGTTTTAGAAATTATGTCCTATTAAAATAAATTTAATTAATCCAACTCATTTATCTAAATAAACTTGATTTGTTATAATTCTTTAAAAACTGGATAAAGATGAAATTTAACTAATTCATAATAGTTACTGTATAGTGAAGAATGTGGGTTCTCTTCTTAGAAGTTAAGTTGTTTTTGGTAAAATTGTAGATTTGTTGAACGTAATTGAATACAACTTTATACATGCAATAAGTAACACTTTACCAAATTCAACACTATATCCATATGCCTATACGATTTTTATATTTATGGAAGAAGTAGACAAGGTTTAAAATGTTTTTGTTGAACTTCGCCTAAAGCTAATAGAGTGCTAGATGCGTTAGCCGTCCCTAACTTAGAAGGGATAGAATACAGGGAAAACAAAACTATGCCAGTCCAATTTAGAAATAACTCACTAAACAGAAAATGTGAAGTTGGAAACTTTAGCATGAAGAAATCAGTTCATTCACATTCAAATTTTACATACACTGATTTCACATTAAATTGTATTTTAAAAACCCATGTCATCCCTGACACAGTTCCTATCTGTTATTTTATGCAAAACGCATTTCATGACGTTACAAGTATAAAGATGATTATAAGCACTAACTGATCAACAACGTATTGCATAACAGCATAAAATTAAACAGACCGACATTCGCGGACGAATGCAGCATGTCTCCGTCACACAATCCCTACATGGCCAATATCGTGAAATTCACAGAAAATTAGAAAACTGTCTATAATACAGTTTGGGATCTGCAAGAAGGTATCTTTGTACAGAACCCTATGTAAGTTGGTTGACATATACATGAATAGTTCACGAACACCCCAAATTGTGCTTTCCTCGCTGAAAAATTGAGAAAAATACAAAAAAGTTCAAAATTGTCTATATACCTGTTTGAAATCTGTAAAAAATATCTTTGTAACAAATCCCGTGTAAATTGGCCGAAATAAGGCAGAGTAACTGTAAAAAAAAAAACAACTAAAATTATGCTTTCAGTGGCATCTTGACCCCCATATAATTACTAAAAATGGAAAAGTCCAATATTTCTGCTTGTCAATATGTGTTACCTGTAGAAAAGTACCTTTTAAACAAATTTCATGTAAATTGGTCAAAACAAGACTAAATAGTTGACCAAAAGCCCTAAAATTACGGGTTTATTTAAACTTTTGCCCCCCCCTAAAATGACCAAAAATGGGCATATACCAAATTTTTGAATCTATGTGTATGAGACCTGTAGAAAAGTATTTGTATCAAATCTCATGTAAATTGGTCAAAGAACAGCCGAGTAATTGACCAAAACCCCCAAATTATACTTTTTGTGAGGTTTGAACACTCTAAATTACTTAACAAGAACAACTTCAGTAAAGGTTATTGACAGTTCTCGATGGAGACAGGATCTAACGAGAAGACAGCCTTTGTGACACCAGGTGAATGCTACCAGTTCAAGAGAATGCTGTTTGGGTTAGTCAACTAAAATGTGACATTCAAACTCATGATGAGGAACATGTTGCACAAAACCAACAACATCGAGCATTATGTTCACAACATCCTGACCCACACAGCCCAGATGTAAAGACCACCTGAAGAAACTCAGAGAACTGTTTGGGCGAGTGAGTGCAGTAGGTCTGACCATCAGACCATATAAGTGCTACATTAGTTATTCTGTGTTGGACTTTGTTGGACACAAGGTGGGCTACTGACAGATTACCATGAAAGAGAAGAAGCTAACCCGCATACAAGATGCACCAGCTCCAATTATCAAACAGCAAGTCAGATCCTTCCTTGGGTTAACAGGATACTATAAGAAGTTCATTTCAAACAACACTGAAGTTGCTGCACCAAGAAAGGCCAATCCAACAAGGTGAAGTGGGAACAACCACAGCAGATGGCATTCCAGAAGTTGAAGAACTTGTTAGGAAGTTCACCAATCCTTAGAATGCTAGACTTCAATAAACCTTTCATTGTTCAGGCTGATGCATCAGATGTTGGA